AAGTAAGAAGAAGGAATCGAAGAAGACAAAGGAGTGTGGAAAGTGGGAAAGAAGACAGGAAGAAAAAAGTGGAGAATCATGTTCGATCTCTGTGACTTTCTTCTTCCTTTTATAAAAAATATAAAGAATTATTATTATGTAAAAAAAAATTATACGCGTTCGTCGTTACGAGGAAACTTACTACTAATACGTGGAAATGTATTTTTGTGTGTCGACATGATACGTATACAAGATAGAGAGCCAGCCAAATGTTTGTATTTATTGAAACATGCCAAATTAAACCGAGTTTGTGAATGTATATGAGGTTATGGGTTTAATAATATTCACTACACAAATCTACAAATACTGAAATCCAAATATAGTAGCTAATTATGGAACTATACAAAAAAATCTATATATATAGAGCTAAAGAAAATCTCAATCTTCTTCTCTTTTTTTTAGTAATAATAAATGGCTTGATTGATTGGCCATGTGATCTCTCAAGTGGCTAACTATTTAGAAATCATGTGAAGCATTTTCGTTATTAATGCATCATCTCTTCTCTAACCAAATTACACGTTGCTTTAATATAGAAAAATTTGTCTATCCAGCTTCATACTCGTATTCATAAGGCAACTTTTTGAATATCTTTTCTATTCAAAAATTAAACTAATCACGTTCTGAATACATGTGTTTTCAGAGAATTAATTGATTAACAATATTTTGAAGATGATTAATGTTTTTTTTTCTTTTACATTGATTTTAACATCCAAAATATCATAAGAGATTTGTATGTACACTTTTTGGCTTATATTATACAGATTGATATGAATATGAATAGAATAATAAATCGTTACATGAACCGGACGTTAGGAATCAACTGACCAAATAAAAGCACGTTGAATACAATAGGTGTGAGTAATCGACCACATGTATATTTGTTGACCCTTATAAACTATGTGACCTTAAACTTTTAAAAGTGGTAAACAGTGATAAAACAATTTAATGGCTTACCTTTCAAACAAGTGACTTAATTAGTGCACATAGTCACACAGAACCACATTGATGAAGAATCAATATAGTCAACAATTTGCAATATATAAAAATTAAGTTTTGACAACTATGAGCCTGAAACAAGTGAATTGCGACTACGTTCGATATATATACAGCAGTAAAACATATTGCCATGGCAAAAAAATTCTCATAACAATGTGTCATGTGTGATATTGGCCTGTAAATTATGCGCAAGTTTCACACACATTTAGTTTTTGTTTCTTAAGAAAATTTAAAAGTGTGTATGTATACGATCCGTCTTGAGATGTTTTCTAGTGTGCATGATATACCAAGCACAAGGTGTTATACATGTCGAAGCCCTTTGAGAAACTTTCAAATAATGTCGTCTCGCTTTCAATGTTTCCATATTTAATGTTTCTATATTGTAAAGTCATTGTTACATTACACATCTAGATGAAAAAATATTTGTCCGCTGTTTTCATTTATAATTATAACAATCCACTTTTTATATGGTTATGGGTTTCAGTAGTATTCATAAACAATGCCAAAAACCACATGAAGTATCTATAAATTTGAATTTACTACATGATGTTTTAAAATACGGTCAATTCCCACACAACCGTAAACGGAATGAGTTTTCCGTTAACGGTTGTTGACATGTATGACACATGGAACATGTTTTTGGCTAATTTAAAATTTATAGAATTAGATATATATTTTGATTGATTTTACAAAAACGACGTCGTTTTGTTCTTAACTCAATTATTATTATAATGTCTATTTTATTTATGCTTAAAATGTTTTTTTCAATCAAAGTTAAAGTTAAAGTTAAATGCAAGAAAATATTTTAAACCATTGTATACTTAAAAATGTTTACATGGCTAATTATATTTTTTATTCATAACATAAGACTATGCAA